ATGTAACAACAACAACAAAAAGCCTGTGAACAACCAAATAGTCCCAAGCTCCCTACGTAAGCAACACCCCTGGAGTCACACTAAGAATCAGTGAATTCTTACATCTCACACAACCATATGATGTCCACTAGTCCATGGCTACTTTCAATTGTATAACACTAGGCTTTATATGTTCACTTGTACATGTTCATGTGTGTGCATATGCACTCAGGTGTATGTACACATGTGTGCATGTATAGGCCAGAGGTCAACATTCACCGTCTGTTTTACTCTTCACCTTATTTCGAGACTAGTTCTCTCACTGAACCTCGGTCACTGATTCAGCTAGACGGGCTGGCTAGTGAGTTCCATGGCTCTTCCCATCTCTGTGCTCCCATGTTAGTGTTAGAGATGCACGACACCTTGCTTAGATATCCAAGCTCAGACCCTCATGTTTGTGCAGCAAGAACCTTATCAACTGAGCTATCGTCCCAACCCCCAACACTATACTTTAAAAGAAATCTTTTACCGATTGATAATTTCATATATGTAAACCAACTCCTTGAAAGCATTTTTACAAATTTAAACAATTTGTATTGTCCTAGTTGGCTTCAGCTCTCAACTTAACATAGCCTAGAGCAGTGGTTCTGACCTTCCTAATGCTGCAAACCTTTAATACAGTCCCTCATGTTGTGGTGATCCCAACCATAAAATTATTTCGTTACTACGTCATTAACTGTAACCTTGGTACTGTTATGGATCGTAATGTAAATATCTGATATGTAGGATATCTGACATGTGACCCCTGTGAAAGGGTCGTTTGGACCTCCAAAGGGGTCATGACCCACAGGTGGAGAACCATTGGCTTAGAATCATCTGAGGAAGTCTCAACTGAGGGATTGGTTGGCCTGTGTCATGTCTGTTAAGATTGTCTTAATTGATGATTAATGTGGGCGGGCCTGCCCTGACTTCCCTCAGTGATGGACTGTGACCTGGAAGTGTTAGCCAAGAAACTCTCTCCTCCCCTAAGTCACTTTTGGTCAGAGTGTTTAGCACAGCAGCAGGAAGGAGACCAGAACAGTATTAGTTCACATAGTTATAGTCACTCATTTATTAAACAAACACTTTTGAGTTTCTCTCTATGTATCCTCTTTGTGATGGACCCACAAAAGTTAAAATCCCAGTCCTTGCTCTATCAGAATAAATATATTGAATTACAAGTACCTGTGTGCAAGGGAAGCACACAGAAGGGACCCTCAGAACTCAGAAGACACAGAAATGTCCCAACTACTCCTAAGGCAACAAACTGACAACAAAAGGGGTGCAGAAGTGACAGCGCCTACCACAGCCAGAGGAACTCGGAAAGAACTGTTCCGACGAGGCCATTGATAACGATGCACAAAAGCACCACTTTATTGGGAAACTCGAAGTCCTCAAAGCCAGTGTAATGAAGTAGAAAGAACCCCGGCCATAAGAGCAGCAGATTAAACAGACCTACAAAACCTGAGTGTAGAAGAGACACAGGGTTAAAATCACGGCTGATTTCAATTTTCCAGACTTGATAACACTATTAGAAACAGATCTCACAAAGGGCTTCAGTGGCTTACTTAACTGGAACTTGTGCTGGTTTGAAGATTAGTTCTACAAACAGCTCAATTCCAGGAAAAAACAGCATCAGCACCTGGCGACTGGCGACTGCGCTTTGGCTGGGCAGATGGTGCAGTCAGTCAAGTGCTCACTGCTCCAACATGAGTACAGTCTCAGCACACAGGTGTGCTCACTTCTACCCTCAGCTCTGGGGACACGCAGACATGGCTCTCTAGGACCCAGTGGCCAGCTAGTCTGGCTGAACCGTGAGGCCCAGAAGGTTCAGTGAGAGACCTTGGAATCCACAATATTTCCAAGAAAATAAAAATAAATAAATAAAAATCATATGGAAGAGGAAAAAGGCCTCCACAGTCTCTCAAAAAATAACCTATGAATTTATAATTTCAAGTAAATAGCCTAAAAGGTTAGACATATACTTGCCAAAGAACATTGGAATATCCAATTTATCTTCTCTGTCTACCTTTCTCTTGATCATCACAATGTAGACAGCATAGAGCATCGCTCCAGCAAGGGACCAAATGGAACCTGTAAAAACCAATAAATGATTTAAGCTCTTCTATCCATTCATGAACTCATTCAACATACATTACTACATATATTTAATATTATTAGAGTCTAATAATACATTGAATACTAAATTAAGAAATGAGAATGCAAAAATGAAAAAAACTAACTCATTCCATCCAGCTCCTCCTGTAGGATAGGAAGGAACTAAATGGATAAATAAATTTATACAAAAGCATTTGCCTTAGTGACCTAACTGAACACCCACAATGAAAGTCAGATAAGTAACATTTTGTCTTTAATTTTGAAACATGCACTTACTTTTCTCTATATCAGTGGTTCTCAACCTTCCTAATGCTGTGTCCACTAATACAGTTCCTTATGCTGTGGTGACTTCCAACCATAAAGTTATTTTCGTTGCTACTTCATAGCTGTAATTTTGCTACTGTTATGTATCATAACGTAAATATCTATGTTTTCTGAGGATCTGAGGTGACCTCTGTGAAAGGGTCATTCCCAAAGGGTTGAGAAACCCACAGGTTAAGAACCACGGCTCTACAGGAACCATTTTGACACAGGCTTCTCTCCATCTCTAAGCCATTGCTGACCTTATTCTTCCCATCCCTCCATGTGGATTTCCAGATGCTCTACCACCACATCCCTAAGGCCACACCTCTTCCACCCAGCATCCTTTCTACTCTGCCAAATTTCCATTGATTTCTCTTCTGTTAGACAATGGAACGTCTACTAATATTAAATATGGTATTATGGGTTGGGAGATGGCCCAGTGGGCAAAGCACTTGCCACACAAATATGAGGACATGAGTCTGAATTCCCATGACCCATATCAAGTCAGACATGGAAGTGCATGCATCTGTAATCCCAGCACGCCTACAATGAGATGGGAGGCAGGGACAAGAGAATCCTAGGAAGTTTACAAGCCAGCAGCCAGGCACACAGTGCAAATAACAGAAGACCCCTTCTCAAACAAGGTGGAAATCAAGGACCAACACTTGAGGTTGCCCTCTGACCTCCACACAAGCATGGTGTCACATGTGCACCTATACTAACACACTCACATGTACACTTACACATACCATATATCCACACAAAGATAAAAAAAAAAAGTCATTAATTTATTCTCTAGTGGCTTTGTTTTGTAATTCCTGTATCTTATTTTAAACCAGAAACTGTTTAAAAACTACAAGCACATAATGTTTTCTTATAATTGGTTGATAATGTGCAATATAATATGAAGCTCACAGTGTGTGACTAATTCCTGTCTTCATTAACTTGTGCTCAACAACCCTTAAGTAAGTCTTCATAAACAATTACCAATGCACCAAGTGACCACTCAATACTTTAATCTAGTCAAAGAACAATATTTATTAACTCTATTTTTTATTATTATCAAAAAATTTTAAAGCCTGTCAACAAAATCTTACAAAATATATATTATGGGTTTTTTTTGTTTGGATTTTTTGTGGTTGTTGTTTGTTTGTCTGTTTGTGGTTTTGGTTTTTCAAGACAGGATTTCTCTGTGTAGTCCTGGCTGTCCTGGAACTTGTTCTGCAGACCAGGCTGGCCTCAAACTCAGATCCTCCTGCCTCTACCTCCCGAGTGCTGGGATTAAAGGCATACGCCGCCGCCGCCGCCACTGCCACTGCCGCCTAGAGAAATTAAGTTGGGCTCTGCCTTTGTTTTTGCTAAATCCAGGCAGTAGATAAAAATTAAATGTTTACTATAATAGTAACTGTTAAGACAAGGAATAAGACTGATGAGAAAATTAGTGAGTAAGACAACAGGATATTTCTATACCCTCACAGTATCTCCCCACAAGATGCCTGCTACTTCAACAACTAGTCACCTCTCCCTGGTGCTCCCAGACAGACACTACTTTAATACCAACATCACTAGCAAAAGGTTAAAGCAATGTCATGGGTCTTCAGAGAAGGCACCAACACCAATCAGATCAGGAAATATTACTGTCGTGGTATTACTACCAATCCGTACAACACCAATTTAACTAGAAAGAATTCTAGATGAACCCCAACTAGAATGGAGAAACACTGTACAAGATAAATAAGCTGTACCCTTCCTTAGTGTCAAACTCACAGAAGACAAGGAAGACTGCATTAGGATTCCTACTGAAGGGACTTTAGAGGAACAAGACAACCAAATGCAAATCAATAAAAGATCTCAGGCCATTATGGGAAAGATGGCTACATTAAGGATGGGTCTATAGCCCATACTACCAAAATTAAGTGTTCACTATAGTAGTAACTGCTCATGAAAGATACAAAAGTGAATGAGAAAATTAGTAGGTAACATTCATTCCTGATTTCTATAATTGCTTTGTAGTTATGTAAGTTAAAATGTTGGGAGAATCTGGGTGAAGGTCATATAACAGCCTCTTTTTTTTGTTTTCGTTTTTGTTTTTGTTTTTTAAGCATCACTTCCAAAGGGAAAGTTCAATTAAAAGACAAATTTTTAAAGACCCTTGTTATTGGGTCAGTACAATGGCTTAGTCGGAAAAGTGTTTGTTTCCAAGCCTGGAACCTGAGTTCAATCCCTGGCGACCACAGTGAAAGGAAAGATTTGATTCTTACAGATTATCCTCTGACTTCCACACATAAGACGTGTCACATGCACGTGAACACACACACACACACACACACACACACACACACACACACACACACAAGTAAATGTAATAAAACTAAGTGCCTGTTAGTGACATGCTGTGTGTACACGTATCTGCATGCCCAGCAGTATGCACAAAGCTTCCCTGAATGCCCTAGAAGAGCACAGTCACGTTCTTACCTATTGTGTCTCTTCCAGCAGACTTTTCAGACCCCGACAGATTCACCAGCACCACGCCTCCAATGCTGTGAGAGTAACACCCATTACTGATGAGCAATAATAAGCTCCTAAAAGACTAATCATCTAGATAAAAACTAAGAGCTCATCTTAGCTTTGGGTAAAACTGTCTGAGAATTTGGTGATTTTATTGATGAGTGCTCATGAGCTCATCAGCACAGTACAGGAGAGTGCTGCACTGACAGTTAATCCTCACAAATGCACACTCATGGCTTATAGGGAAGGAATTCATGAAGAGGTGAAGTAACTTGACCAAGACCACATGACAGGGCTTGTCACAGGCAGCTTGTCCTCAAAGCCCAACATGCTTACATGCTACTGTCTTAATTATGGAAAAGATAACTTGGCATCCCTTTGTTGAGCCTTCTTTCAAAGAGAAATAAGCCAACTCCACATAAAGCTAGCAATGGCACTTTTCGTGCAAGTGAAACCTAAATAAACAGCAAGGCTGTTCTTCCACATTTGATGAGTCCGTTAACCCCAGGATTTTAATGGATAAAAAGACGACCAAAGGCTGTGGAGAAGTCAGGCCATTGATTCAATTGACTGTCACTGCTGAGCACCTAGAAGGAGCAAAGCAATGTGTTCCAGGGGACAAGATGCGTGTGTTCCTCTTCAAGGAGCTTACATGGCCTTTCCACTTCCGGGTAGCTTATTAGTTGTGTATATTTTTTTCAACAAACAGAAATGCTGCAAATTTAGAAGACAGTCCAATTCTCTTGCCTACTGATCAAAGAGACTTGGCACATTTGAGAAGTAGTATAGAAAAAGAATATGTTTCCCCTTATGGAACCATGTAATCAGAAGCAAACAGAATAGTCCTTACACTGGATCCTCCTACTCTCTAGTGCCGGTGTCGGGTTTCCTGCTATGATCATTGTTTGGATTAGAGTCAGCTGTTGTTTACTGAGTTCCCACAATATAACAGAAACCAGTTCGTTTCCATTCAGAGGATGATGCCATGATGGTGCCTAAATAGACTGAGCACACGTTCTTGGAACCAGTTTACAAGTTTGACCTCATCCATCCGCATAACAGACCTATGAGACAAATTCCACTGTGATCCTCCTCAGTTTACAGAAGAGGAAACGGGCAAAGAGATTTTAAAATAATGTGCAAGATCTCAAAACTAGTCATGGAGGTGGGACTGGATCACAGACAACAGAATGTGATTTCTGAACTTTCATCAGATTTCTTTCAAGGCTGTAGCTATATCAAATTCTATGCATGATCACAAAAATTCAATCTCATTGTTTAAGGACAATTCAGTACAAAGTAAGTATTAAATAGTGTTTATTGGAGTATTCTCAAGAGTGAAATTACACAAGAAAATTAAAATCAATTATCCTAAACTATAGTGATTTTTTTAGAGCACACAAAGTACTTTAGACTTGTGGCCATGTGGTTTCTCTTACAACTCTGCCCCATAGCAGCCACAGATGACAAGCAAATGAATGAAAATGATTGTGTCTCGATAAAACTTTATTTATAAAAACTGGCAGGCAGCTGACGTTAGTTTCCTAGTCCTCATTCTCAACCTACTTTTACAAGAATATTCTGTCACAACACTTGCAAACTCAACATTTTATATCCATTCCCTTCTTTATCAAACCTTTCTTTATTACATGGTACTAAGAAAAGTTAAAAACCAGCATATATATTTCAGGTAAAGTTTAATAAAACCTTATTTACTTCCCCAACACAAATGTATTATATTTCCAAAATGCAAAAACATGTTTGGTTAAAACATTAGTCAAGCATACAAAAGAATATATCCCTGGTAGTTATAAAGACTAAATATAAATCAGTTGGGTCAGTCAGAGTGTCACTGAAACACTCTTGATCAGCTTTCCCTTGTGTCTAAAAGCTGTAATACAGAATATAAGAAGAGTGACCAGTCTTCTACAATTGCCAAGTGCTAGTCCCTCAGATACTTTCCAGACACAAAGCAGTACAGTTCTAGTCCTCTCTGCTGGATCAGAGCTTAGGGGAAGCAACAGAACTCTGACTTGGTCTCAGCTACTGCTATGAAAGTCTCATCATTAAGTGCTTCTGTTACCCTCTTTGCTCTCTCGTTTTCCAAAAAGAGCTGCTTTGTCAAACTAAAGCATCTCCTTTGAGTAATGTCTATGGGAAAAGCTAGGCTCTTGGCAACACACAGAATTTGAAGTCAAGTTTCAGCCTTTAAAGGTTTACAGTCCAGCAGAGAAAACTCACAGTTACATATGAAAGACTGAATGTAGTTATTGACAATGTGGCTGCTGTGCCCTCAGATAAAACTGCCAAATGAATTAAACAGAAAGTAAGTGAAAAATCACTGCAGGCTAAGATAACTGGAGAAGATCCAATTCGATTTCTAGAAGAAAGGGACAAATAAAAGCCAACATAAAAAGAGGACTTGTGTCAAGAAAAGGAGATAGACAACTGATGATTACGTTGGCACATTACTGTTAAATGTGAAAGTTAGTTCAATACTTAGTAATTTTTCAGTCAATGAGAACCAGTGGATGAGAACCATAGCTGTCCTGGGACCTTTCCCTCCAGTTACCCTAATTTGACCCAGGGCTAAACAGCATCATGTCCATGGGAAGCCGTCCTTTGCCTCATCTTTTTTTGCTTATATATTATAACATCAACTGTTTCAACATCATATTTTAAAGACTTTATTATTTGTTTATGTCTACATAAGTGTATGAGTGCATGTGTATAAAAATATGCATGCTTGTGTATGCGCAATGAGAGGCCAGATGAGGATGTTGGATCTGTCAGAGAAATGTTGTGAAATATTATTTTAACTAGGCAAAGATGTCTTACATTTGTTTATGCTGTGGAATATTTAACTGTGTAAAGGTGTGTTACATTTGTTTGTGCTGCGTTTGTTTAACAATGCAAGTATGTGTGTTTATTATGTAAAGATGTGTTGCATTTGTTTCACCTTGCCTGCCTAAGGCACCTGATTGGTCTAAATAAAGAGCTGAACATCCAATAGCTAGGCAGAGAAAGGGTAGGTGGGACTACCAAGCAGAAAGAATAAATAGGAGAAATCTAGGCTCAAGAGAAGAAGAGAGAAGAGAATGAGGAGAAAGGGAGACACACCCAGGGCAAGAAGCCAGGCAGCACCAGCCAGACACGAGAAGCAGTGAAAGTAAGATGTACAGAAGGAAAGAAAAGTAAAAAACAAACAAACAAACAAAAATAAATAAATAAATAAATAAATAACCCAAAGCAAAGGTAGAAGAAGAGAAACAGGTTAATTTAAGTTAAAAGAACTACCCAGAAATGAGCCTAAGATAGGCCGAGCGTTCCTAACTAATAATAAATCTCTGTGTCATGATTTGAGAGCTAGTTGGTGACCCAAAAGAAAAAGCCTAGTACAAGAGAACGCATTATAGGATTTGTGGACTAGCCAGTTTGCTTCATGGGTGTTTAAATCTGACTCCCAGTCTTCATGATGTCCAAGCAAGCTCTCTTAACTGCTGAGCCATCTTCCCGGATCTAAATCTTATTTCTGAGCAGAACAAACTAGCATATGTTATATTCTTACCTTAAAATTACAGCTAACAGCTTAGAGAGGGTAAATCTGTCTCCACTGTTACTCGGAAATACAGCTGCAAGGATTAAAGTAAAAAGTCCTACAGGGAGAAAGAAAAAGACAGAAGAAGCTGATAAGTTTACTTCTACCACCAATACTGAGAGCAACATGAGTAAGTCACATATCCAACTTTTAAGCTAATTGTTTTGCTCTTTTCAAACAATTAATACTGCATTTACTTAAGTGGAAATGTCCAAAGGTCAGATTAAGAAGAGCTTCTAAACCAAGTCACATCTATTCTAACAGTACAGATAAGGGTAGGGCTATTTATTTTTAAACTGTAAGTACTAAGTTGAGCCTGCAGAGTAACACTGACCTCACCAGTCATGCCTGTGTTCTAAGTTATCTCTACAGCTTCAAAAATACTTCATTTATCTTCCAGATTTGGAAGGTGAGTCAATGTAAAAAAATAAAACACCTACTAGAGTGCAAATTTTAGATATGAAATAAGCAGTGGCATTTAGCCAAAAGGATCTAGAAAAAGATCTCTGAAAAGGAAATATGCAGGGAAAGACTACCATAGAGGGAGGCTAGGCCTAGAAAACCATCACACACTGCAGAATAAAACCACAGAGGGCTGGGTGTAGTGGTGCACACCTTTAATCCCAGCACTTGGGAGTAAGAGCAGGCGGATCTCTGAGTTCAAGACCAGCTGGCCTACTAAGTGAGTTCCAGAATAACCAGGACTACACAGAGAAACCCTGTCATAACAAAACGAAACAAAAACAAACAAACAAACAAAACCCAAAGGAGGCCAAAGGAGAGCATGTGCCTAGTATGTACAGACCTAGAAAACGTTCATGAATTGAAGGATAAAACACACAAATACCCAGTGTGTACTTGTGGGGGAGCGAGTGCCAGCATGCACAGGCCTGGGTTTGTGAACTGAACAAAAATGACAGCCAAACAAAGAACTATAAAGTACCCGAGGGATCACCAATAACACAAAGTTCAGGCGGTCAACTGTAACCATGTAAACATGGTTGTGCATGCCTCTAATACTGCTTGGAAGACAGACACAAGCAGGAGGATTGCCACAAGTTCAAAGCCAGCCTGGCCTGGTCTATAGAGTAAAATACTCAGAGCTAAATAGTAAGGGTCTCAGAACAACATACTCCCCCACCCCCCAGTTACTTATAATATACTAATGTACAGCATAACTAAAAACTTAGAAGACAGAATTGTGTCTAGGTTCATACAAATATCACTAGATATGCATGCATCCATTCATAATGCAGATTTTAAGACACGTTTCTTACCAGAAGTTGAAGACAAAATATTCACTATGGCAACCTGTGTGTCTGAAAGTGCTTCTTGATATGACAAATTTGCCAAAAACCACTAAACAAAAAGAAAAGAAAGTGAAACCTCATGAAAAATATTTATATCTGTCTGTTCAATTTACAGTTGCCCCCCTTCTAAGCACTATTACTATATGACATTTGTTTTTTGTTTTTAAGGTTTAAAAAAAAAATCAAATGTTTATGTGTGTATCTGTGGAGATATGGGAAGTTGCACACAGTGCCAGCAGAAGCCAGCCGAGGGTGTCAGATCCCTTGGACTGTAACCACAGATGGTTGTGAGCCACCCAGTACAGGTGCTGGGAACTAAACTCTAGTCCTCTGCAAGAACAGTATGTGCTCTGAACCCTGAGCCATCTCTCCAGTCCCCATAAGTGGTTTCAAAAGCTGCTCTTTAGAAAAAAAAAAAAAAAAAAAATCATGGGCCCCAAAATAAGAACAAGCATTAATGATGATACCTAAGATCTTGCTGCTCAGTTCTGAAGACACTAACCAGGCCAGACAGTGACACAAACCTTAGCCCCAGCACTCAAGGCTGGGAAGATCACAAGTTCCACAAGTGATCTTCCACAAGAAGACTAGCCTGTGCTAGAGGAACCTTGTCTCAAAAGACAATTAATTTAAATTAAGTTGCAATAAAAACAAAAACAAAACAAACAAACAACAAAAAAACCGAACTTGTCTAGCATGCAGAGAACCTGGTTTCAATTCCCAGCACCACCAACAAAAAAATAACTAACAAAAGTTGGTTTAAAAAAAAAAGCATTCAGAGCTGGAGAGATGGCTCAGTAGTTAAAAGCCCTTGCTGCTCTTGCAGAGGACCTGGGTTTGGTTCCCGTCACCCACAATGCATGCCTCCTCAGAACTTCCTGTAACTCCAGCTGCAGGGGATCTGACACTCTCTTCTGTGCTCCACAAGCACATGCACACACTGCTCATTCACACACAGAGACACATAATTTAAAAAGAAAAATCAGCATTCAGAGACCGTGTATGTGTAAAGGAGAGACTGAATATCAAATCAGCTTTTACGTTTGTTTATTCATGCACTGATCATACTCTACTAAGTTTATAGAGTTCAAACAAATCTGGGAAAATTATTTGACATTAAAACCTACAGGACCTAGAAAGATGGTTTAGTGAATGAGAGTATTCACTGTGCAATCATTTGGACCTGATTTAGACCCCACATTCATGTAAAGAAACCAAGGATGGCCATGCCTACCCCTGCAATTTGTAAAACTGAGTGTAAGCATGGGTTTGCGTGTATGCAGGTGCTGTGTTCTAGGATCTGGCTTCATGTCTTCATTTTGTGGGGTGGTCTTTGTGTATAAATACACATGTGGAAGCCAGAGGTGAACTGTGGCTGTCATTCCTCAGGTGCTGTCCCTCATTTGTTGGGGCCTGGAACTCACTGGGTAAACTAAGCTAGCTGGCCCCAGAGCCCCAGAGATCCATGTCCCTGCCTCCTTAGCATTGGGATTACAAGCAACTGTTTTACAAGGTCCTGCAATGGAACTGAGCTCCTTGTGCTCACAAGGCAAGCATTTTATCAGCTAAACTGTCTCTCCCACCTTAACTTCTAATTCTTTGAGGTATGACAAGTATTTACTGAGTTTGATATTCTAACATCCCAGTGTGCCAGACAGCCATTAACAGAAAAAAATAAAGAACTCTAGTAGACTTCTATTTCAATAATGCATTGTTGGTATGTGCACCATCTTAAATATATAGGAAAGAAAACAGGGCAGGATGGTTTAGCACGTAAAGTATTTCCATGCAAGCCTGATGACCTGAGCTCAATTCCCAGAACATGCACAAATGTGGAAGGACATAAGTGACCTCCTCAGGTTGTCCTCTGAGCTCCACACACATACTATGGCAGCCCCTCCCGCTCCCCACCATCCGTGCAGCATCCATATACACAACAATAGTAAACCTTAAAAAACAAACACCTACCACAAAGCAAAAAAAAAAGCTGATTTTTGCTACTTGGGTTGCAGTAAGTTTCCCTACAGTCTTCAGTATGGATTCGTGATCTTTCACAGTAGGATAAGACATTCGAGACAGCTTGGCCTCTAACGCATGGCTTGATGGGAGCTGTCGAATCTCCATGATATTGCTGAACCTTACACGGGACTTCTTGGGAGCTAAAATGGAAAGCATAGTAAAACATTAAATGCACCCTCCCATCCTACAAAAATGAAACAGAGTGTTTAATTTAATGATAAATGCAGACTATTCCATTCATTTATGATCAAAGTAAGGGAAAAAAAAACCACTAGAGTTATATTGTTACCTGGGGCAACTTTGCTCAGTCAAAGGAGCTACTGGGAAAAAAAAGAATTCATCTATGAAATGTTTTAAAGAGTTTAAAATAGGACGGGCAAGACAGTTCAGTGGGGAACACCTACCACCAAGCCTGAGGACCTGAGTTTGATCCCCAGGGAATCAAATGGTAGAAAGAAAGAACTGACTCCTACAAGTTGTACTCTGATCTCCAAACAAGCATACAAAATAAATTAAAAATGTAATTTAAAATTTTTTGAAGAGTTTAAAATGATTAAAATTCCAACAAAAGGTTTACAGTTGTGTATATACACAACCACATGGCTCAGGATTTTACTATGTTTATTATTTTAGCATTTATAGCAAAACATGATTTTGATTATTCTTCATGGCTAGCTAATTGAGAATTACCTTCCCAGTAAAGCATTCTACACTACAGTCTCGTGCCTTGCAATGGAAATAACAGACAAACACTTTGCTTTATACTATCACTGACATTCTGGAAGAAACTCACCCAACTAGCAAAACTCAAGTCATGTTTATATTTGGCTCTCTGAGGACATGTTTATGAGAATATTGTTCATTTAAATGAACAAGTAAATAAAAACATATACATATATAGTTGAGACTGTGGCTCCATTGATAGATTACTTGATTAGCTGGGCTCCTGGGTTCCATTCCCTAGCACTGACTAAACCAAACATGGCAATATGTACCTATAATCCTAGCACTCAGGATGTATGGATAAGAGGATCAGAAATTCAAGGTCATCCTTGGCACATAGTAAGGTTGAGGCCAGCCTGGGCTACATGAGAGACGGTCTCAAAGCAAAATAAATAAATAAAATTTATTTATTAATCTATATACTAATTATTAATTTATAGGTTCCTTTATATATTATGATGATAAAACCATAGAGCTTCCTTATATTTGGAAATTATTTCCTATTGAATTAATACAGATACTTTATTCTATCAGATTTATAATCCAATCAAACTTCCAGAAAACTAAGGCCATGTCAATCTCCACAGAAGTCAAGACATACTGTATGAACCCTATGAGCTCACAGTGGCTCAAAAGAAGCTAAATTTCCATTCACTCTCAAGCATGGAACCCTAAGCTTGACTCACTTTTTTCCGTTCCAATGTTTGTGCTCTCGAGCTTCTCACTTGGAAGATCATGAAACTTCACAGGAACATACAGGGGTTCACTCTGGAACATAATGTGAACAGAAACAAGCATGAGCAGCAAAATCCAAAGCCAAACTATCAGGCAGAATTGAAGTGCAAGGCACGTAGACACAGGAACCATCACAACTCGACTGTTCCCCAGCACATCCATAGTCAGCACCACTTTCCCCAAAGACTGGGAAAGCAAACACAACCAGTCCACACACAAAGAATCATTTTAAAGTAGAAATGTCAGCCATGAGATGATGGCTCAACAGGCCAAAGTGCTTTCCATGTAAGTCTGACAGCCTGTGTTCAATCCCTGAAATCCACAGTGGAAGGAAAGAGCCAGCTCCCCAAAGCGATCTTCTAACCTCCCCATGTGTGTGTGTGTGCGCGCGCGCGCACAAATACACACACACACACACACACACGCCTCCCCAATCCCTCACTTAATAACAACAATAAATACATTAAAATGTAAAGTTCAGAAATGTAAAATGGTATCTTTGGTACATTCTGGGAACTAATACCTCAAGATCATAAAAGTAATCCTCTCAGCCAACAGCAAACATTCATTCTTCAGATATACACACAGCGTGCTGTGCTGGAGGAAGTACATACACGAACCCCCTGCTACCTGGGCAGCTGAGGTGGAAGGATGGTCTGAGCCCACCAGTGTGGAGCCAACCCATGCAACAGCATGAACTCTTGTCTCTCCTCACAAACAAAACAGAACAAAAGCACTCTGAGCACTCTTCCTAAACAGACACTGTTCCAAATCCTGTGACTAAGGGTGAGTAAATGAAGTTTCTTCCCTCATAAGCATGTACTCCAATGGGGAAGGCAGCCAAGAGACAAATATCCAAATATATAGTATAGCTGCATTTGTTGAATTCGTTTTACTATACATAAGATTCAACAACAACAAAAATCTTTTTGGGGTGGGCGATGGGTAGGGGTATGAGGTGTACGTGTCTCTGTGGCTACAGGTGGGGAGGCCAGAGCTCAATCTCAGTTGCGATTTCCCAGGAGCTGTCTCACTGGGACCCGGTGCTCACTGTCAGGCTGGCTGGCTGGCCACTGAGCCCCAGCAATCAATCTTCCTGTCTCCGCCCTCTCAGTGCGGGGACTGCAAATTCCACCAAACGTGGCTTTTTAGGTGTTGAAGCCTCAGCTCGGGTACTCATGCTTGTGTGGCAAGGACTGTAGCAACTGAGCTACCACCTGAACCCCAAACCAACAATTCTTGAAAACGTTTAAGTGATTAAAAGATGGGGGGAAATGCCACCACTGATCAGTTCTTACTATTTATAAGGTTCAAATACAAAATGGCTAAAATGTATTTCTCACTAGTCCTCAAAATAACTTTAGAAAACAGGTATTTTAAAGGAACTGTCTTCAAAGCAGAGGTACAGAAACAGCTAAGTAGGAGATAAAATTTGGCTCCAAGACCCAAACGCCACAACATTTTTACAAATATTCTTATTTAAAGTGTAATTCCCACCAATTAAACTGTTTCTTTTTTTTAAATTTATTTATTATGTATACAGTGTTCTACCTGCATGTACACCTGCAGGCCAGAAGAGGGCACCAGATCTCATTACAGATGGTTGTGAGCCACCATGTGGTTGCTGGGAATTGAACTCAGGACCTCTGGAAGAGCAGTCGGTGCTCTTAATCACTGAGCCATCTCTCCAGCCGCAAACTGTTTCATTTTTAAAAATCAGATTTCTAAAATTTTCTTTGATTTTATCTCCTGGTATAAAACAACAGCAGCACAACATATTCAGAAAACAAAATACATTCACAACGAGATCTAACAATTAACATGGTCTTTTTGCCACACAGAACTTTTTATTTTAACATTTGGCCTAGACCAATTTGACTTATGGGTCCAGAGATAAAAGCAAAAAACATTAGAAGACTCGTCAGCACCTTGTGCATGGAACAAGGCAAATGGTATTAAATCATCTTGTTGATGCTTAAGACAGCAGAGAGCAAACTTCTTCTTCAAGTTTACTAAAGTCTTCACAGTACCTGCTAACCCATCTGACACACAGTGTGGTTTAAAAACCAGATGAACAAACAACAACAGTGCAGTATTTTTAAAACTTGCTTTAGAAGGGCCAGTGAGATGGTTCAGCAAGTAAGGCACTTGCCATACAAGCCTGATGACCTGAGTTCGATCCCCGGAACTCAGATGATGAAAAGACAAATGACTCTCAAAAGTTGTCCTCTGACCTCCACATGCACACTGTGGCACACACACACATACAAACACATACAAAATACCTAAAGAAATGTTAAAACAAACAAACAGTGTAGAATAAATGGATGAACAAATTTGCCTATTCTCAGTGTCGAGCACCAATACTTGTTTCCAAATGGTAATAATAATGAGCATTAAGTTGAAAGTTGGTAGAGAGACAGGCCTGGCCCGTGCTTTATTATTTGCCTTCTGTAACTTGCTTCCCCCATCCCTCTCTCCTCAAGGGCAGCCTGCCTGCTTACCCCTCGGCCCTCAGTCTCCCTATGGAAGGGAAGTGCCGAAGCAATTCCCTCAGAGGGCACACAATGCTGAGCCGTACGCTCATCTCACAGGGCTGTCAGCACAGCTGTCTCGCTATTCCTGTTATGGCTGAACGAGAAAGGCAGCACTTACCAAAGAACTGCTCATACTCGTATCTGTTGTGCAAGCAGCAAAGTAACCCTCAGCGTCTGCAAACTGAAGACAGAGAACAGGACATCAAACTCACAGAAACTCACGTCATCATGCAGGACTACTCACATAACTCGAATGAACACACAAAACTCCAGAATAAAGTTATGCATCGAACTATTGTTCTCAACAACAGTAGCCAATGCCAAGGGTGCAGCCATGCAGAGTAAATTTTATCATCTTATCTTTCCTGATGAAGGAACTGAGGCTGGCTGTTTTGTCAAAGTAGCAGAACCTGGATTAAAACCGTGGTGTGTCATCTACGGCTAAAGCCTGAGCCCCTTTCCTTACACTATTGCAGTATTTCAGACATGCAGAGAAAGACAGCAAGTTAGTGAAAGAAGACAGCAACCCTCTGGTATTGTTAGGAGACTAGACTGCCCCGACAAAGTCTCTGACAGAGATCAGGACTGGCCCACACTCTGGGAGCCACTTAATACTGTGCAAGTACGATTCCATTTCATAACCCCCACGACGCTACCAACAAAGTACTATTTAAACCCACACAAACTTGCTGTAGAATATTATTTTAAGGGGTGTTACTTTTGTTTATGTTGCATTTGTTAAACTCTGTGAAGCTGAGTTACTGTGCCTGTGTAAAACATCTGATGGTCTAATAAAGAACTGAATGGCCAATAGCAAGGCAGGAGAAAGGACAGGCCGGGCTGGCAGGCAGAGAGAACATATAGGGGGAGAATCTGGGAGGAGAGAGAAGAGATGGAGGAGTGAAAAAAGGAGGAGCCAGAGAAGGAGGAGGACTCCAGGGGCTGGCCACCCAGCTACACAGCAAGCCACGGAGTAAGAGTAAGATTTACAGGGCTGGAGAGATGGCTTAGTGGTTAAGAGCACCAGCTGCTCTTCCAAAGGTCCTGAGTTCAATTCCCAGCAACCACATGGTGGCTCACAACCATCCATAATGAGATCTGGTGCCCTCTTCTGACCTGCAAGCATATATGTAGGCAGAACACTGTATACATAATAAATAAATAAATCTTTAAAAAAAAAAAAGTAATATTTACAGGAGTAAGAGAACTGGAAAAGCCCAGGGGCAAAAGGTAAACAGGGTAAGTTAAATTAAAGACACTGGCAAGAAACAAGCCAAACTAAGGCCAGGCATTCATAATTAAGAATAAGCTTCCATGTATGATTTATTTAGGAGCTGGGTGGTGGGCCCCCAAAAGAGCCAAACCCTCCCAACAACACAAACTAACAAAAACAAACAGAAAAGTAGACCATGGTAACTAGAGACTAGGGAAGGAGAGATCAGGAATGCTTTTTTTTTTTATTATGTTCTAATAAATCTTTATTTAAAGACCATTTGAGAGGTTGGAAAGACTGGATATTCTTGATTATTGGGCACAAAGTTTCTGTTTGGAAGAATAAAAATTCCTAGAGATTGACAGTGCACAGCAAAGCAAATGCACCTGGTGCAACTGAACTGCACATCAAAAAAAGATAAATTTGATATTACACATATTTTGCAATAATAAAAAGGGAAGGAAATGGCTAAAATTTGATGTTACATATATTTATTAAAGTGGTGGAGAAAGAGAAATAATTTTTTAGAGAAAAAAATAAATTTGAAATAAAGAAAATGATAAAATCAAGAAGCTTTGATGACTGAAAAGCTGAACATCTTTAGGGGAACAAGAAATAAATATGGGCTTATTTAAAAAAAAAGAATGAATAGAAATGACGGTTTTATACTCTTCCTTCTCAAAAATGTAAGGTGTCTATTACACAGAAGATAAGTTGCTACACAAGCTACCATAGTTATCAATGAATGAAAAGCTTACAAAACATCAATGAAAGAATGTCCTAGCCCAGCGGTGGTGGTACATGCCTTTAATACCAGCACTTGGGAGGAGAGGCATGTGGATCTCTGTGAGTTCAAGGCCATCCTGGGCTACAGAGAGAGTTCCAGGACAGGCTCCAAAGCTACACAGAGAAACCTTGTCTCAAAAAAAAAAAAAAAAAAAAAAAGAAAGGAAAAGAAAAAGCAAAGAATGTCCTTTGATTAATCAAATACCTGACACACACCCTGAAATAAAGAATTTTCACTTAATGTATGAAACTGAATTATCTCGTTTCTACAGTTAACTTTACAGCTAGTTTACATGACACTCATCTAATCTGTAAATGAGCAGACACTAGACATTGTTGTTATGCCTTCCTTTCTTCATCGTCTCCACAGAAGCTGATGAAGGCTACTTTAACGATCATTAACAACTCAAAGATGTCATAAGAAAAGGGACAGAAAGTGACATACACTTCTGATTCCTCACAAGACATTCTGCTGCCAAGTTGGAAGAACACTTTAAAACTTTCAGACATGGGCTAAAGAGATGAGTCATTGGTTAAAAGTGCTTGCTCCAGAATCACAAGGATGAGGGCTCAGATCCAAGCACCCATTAAAAAGCCAGGCCTCACATAAATGCTTGTTAACTCCAGGTCTGTGGACACGGACACCCTCTTCTAAGCTCTCTGCATACATACCTATACACATATGTGCGCTCTCTCTCTCTCTCTCTCTCTCTCTCTCTCTCTCTCACACACACACACACACACTGGCCTCAAGAGATCTGCCTACCACTGCTTCCCGAGTGCTGAGATTAAAGGCCAGTGCCACCGCTGCCTGACTTTTGTTTTTATATTCTACCATTACATGCTCAAATGAACAATTTAAAAATCTGACTTTAAGAGCCAGGCAGTGGTGGTGCACGCCTTTAATCCTAGCATTCAGGAGGCAGAAGCAGGTAGATCTCTGTGAGTTTGAGGCCAGCCAGACTGGTCTATAAAGCAGAGTTCCAGAACAGCTAGAGCTGTTACACAGAAAAACCCTGTCTCTAAAAACCAAAAGCCAAAAGCCAAAAAAAAAACCTAAAAAAACCCAACAACAAAACTGACTTTAAGAAAACTGATAAACCACTAAACTTGGAAAAATAACATTTAACATACAAAATGAAAAACTTACAAAAGCAGCAGGCTTTCCTCGAAATCCTCTTGTACATTGTTGCCTCCAAGGTTTCCAAATAATGAAGCCCAAAAGGTACAGAACAAACATGGATGTCTTTGCAAAGGTGCTGAAGAAGGGCTTGTTGTACTGAGTGAAGACATACTGTAGAGGAAATGTAACATTTTACACCAACAACCTTAGGGTTAGGGTTAAAACCTTCCTGCACATCTCCATCTTGTCATCTCTTTAGAAGTCCATATGGGTAGGAAGACCAAAGAGATAAAACAGTACTTTAAATTCATCTCTGAATACTGTATATGTCTTGCACACAAGAGGTAACATTGTCAAAGCAACAACCATCAAAAAAAAAAAAAAAAAAGGTTTTTCAACACATCTACTGAAAACCTACTATGCAAAAATACCTGTGTTAGGGACTAAAGAAGAACAAAGCAGTACTCCCTGCTCCTGAGGAGACACGTGTGTGAAGAAATGTGCTGCTAAGTACCATACAGGAGCTTCAGGGTACCATGGAAGTACCAAAAGGAGAAAACTGGTGTAGGGTTATGGAAGTTTTCAAAGAGGCTATCTCATATATTCTCTCTCTCTCTCTCTCTCTCTCTCTCTCTCTCTCTCTCTCTCTCTGTTGGGGTAGGCATGTGTGTGCACATGCATGTGAAGGCCAGAAGACAAACACTGGTGTCCTCTTCCAAAAGCCATCTGTTGTGTGAGCCGTAACCGAGTAGACTAGAATGGCCATTAAGCCCCAGGAATCTGCCTGTCTGGGCCTCCCCAGCACTGAGATTACAAGTACACACCACCATGCCCAACTACTGCACCTGGCTTCCAGAGATTATTCTTCAGATGTGTGTGGATGGCTGAAGAAAAGTCATACCATGCAGAAGAAATGGCATGAAGAAAATAAAGCAGATTAGCATATAACAAAAATACGAATGTTAATGTTATTAGGAAGCTATTTTTTATGTGTAATTTTCTTTTAAATTGTGTGAAAACTCACCATATTTTAATTTTGTCTCCTAGGAAACGACAACAGCAACAAAACCTAGTTGCATGCACCTAGAAAGATGACAAGTCAGGAAAAACAAAGAACTCCAAGACCCAGACGGCAGCCTGGACTATTTCCCACTGAAGAACACACAGCTCTCAGTGACAACGGCCAAATCTGGGATGGGGACAGACATGTACCAGATGAGCCTGGAGCATCTTGAGCCAGAAAGCAAATGAGATAAAGCTGAGATCATCTGAGAAGAATCCCAGAGCCAATCTGAGGGGCTCCTACTAAAGAAAGCTAGGGCAGTTTAAGCCTTAAAACACAGTCATTATAATGGTTAGAGCTACATATCAAACAGAAGGAATGGTTCTTTGACGAATCACCATTTGCAAATCCTAAAGAAAGAAACTCCCAGAGCAATCATCACAAAGACATTCAACTATTACCTAACGGCTGGTGAGAAATTTTACTTTTTAATTATTTATTAACTTTGTGGGGTGGTGAGCATGTGTGGGTGAGAGTATAGTGGTCAGTTAACAGCTTGTAGGAGCTGGCTCTCCCCTTTTATTACAGGGGTCTCTGGGATCAAACTAAGGCAGTCGGGCTTGGTGGCAAGCACCTCTCCCCACTGAACCATCTCAGTAACCAGGTGATGAACTTTTTTTTTTTTTTTTTTTTTGGTTTTTCGAGACAGGGTTTCTCTGTGTAGCTTTGAGCCTTTCCTGGAACTCACTTGGTAGCCCAGGCTGGCCTCGAACTCACAGAGATCCGCCTGGCTCTGCCTCCCGAGTGCTGGGATTAAAGGTGTGCGCCACCACCGCCCGGCCAGGTGATGAACTTTATACTACTTAAACTGGCATCCCCCAAAACAGCTGTGCAGACATTATATGCCTCCTGTCCTGATGTCATAACCACCAAGATATCCTTGCCTGCAAACCAAACCTAAATCAAGACTTTCTGCCTAACTACACTTTATCCAAAGTGAAAGAACGAGTTAGTTGACAGGATAAGGAAGCAATCAGTAAGGCCAAGGAGGTGATGTGTCTCACAGGACAATGACCTGGTTTCTCCAATACACAAAAGAGAAGAAAAAGGGGAGTGGCGTATACTCAAAGGTACAAAAAAAGCAAAGTGGATCCTTGTTCAGATCCTACCTGGGTTGTGTGTGTAAGACCTTGTTACATCAAGAAAAATGAACTGGTTATCAGGTGATTTTAATGAATTATAGTTAATTTTGTTAGACATGTTAGTAGCAGTGATTGTATTTTTAAAATAAAAACAATGTGATTTTCAGTGTGAGATAAGTAGGAAAGAAATTATATGGTGAGAGTTTGCATAAAGTATTCCAGGAAATTGGAAGGAACGTGGTTGATGAGATTAGAAAGACTGATCACTGTTAAAGTGATGAGTCATGAGGATTTGTCATTCCACTTTAGTCTCTCCTTTCTTCTTGTGTCGGTGTCTCTAGTGTGTCTGTGGTGTGCATGTGTGCGGGGGTGCACATGTGTGCACAGGTGTGTGTGCAGATGTCTGAAGCTGACATGAGGTATCTTTCTCCATTCCTGTCTTCTTTATTATTGAGGAAAGGTCTCTCCTTGAACCTGTAGCTTGCCAATTCCAGCTAGTCTAGTTAGTCCTGGGATCCCGAGCCCTGTCTCCTGAGCGCTGCGATGACAGACAGGAGGCTCCCACGCCTGCCTGGGCTTTACATCGGTTCTAGGGATCCAATCTCTGCTCCTCCTGCTTATGGGCAAACGCTGTCTCCAAGTCTGATATGTTTACCTGGCTGAAGATTTAAACCTCTTACATATGTTCTAAGATGACAAAATTACATATTTTTTTCCCACTAAAGCATGTTACTTGTTTAAAAACTGACTTCTTTTCTGGCTTTGTGAAGTATAACTGACAAATGAAAACTACAGCTGTGTACAGTGGTACATACAGATAGTCCCCAGCACTTAAGAGGAAATTGGCTGGGCTACATAGTGAGTTCCAGAGCAGCCTGGGATACAAAGGGAGAACTTGTCAAAAGAAACTACTAAAAACTGAACACACAAAACCCACCTTAAAATGTATTTAACTGTGTACAATATAATGCTTCAATACATGCATAGATTGTGAAATACTTGTCAGAAGCAAGTTGGTGGAATTTTTTTAACCTTTAGATATGAATTGCTAAATTATAATCTAATGCTTCCTTGTTCTAAACCTTTCTTTTGTTGGGGGTGGGCATGAGTGGGGCAGGGGTGGAGGGGAGTCAGAGTCTTGCTGTGGGCTGGAACTCACTCTGTAGACCACGCTGTCCTGAAAACTCAGAGATCTACCTGCCTCTGCCTCCTGAGTGCTATGATTTAAAGGCCTGTGCCACCATGCCCAGTCTTGTTCTAAAGCTTATTAGCTGATAAACAAAACCATTTATTTAATACTGCAAAGTTTAAAAGTTAAGTTCAGGACCCTATCTCCTATTAAGGATATTTCTTTGAAGCAAAATTATGGAATGTTAATCTAAAAAAAGATTACAGAGGAGTTTTCAAGTGAAATACAAAGGGCCTGTGGTGTTCCACCAGGGCCTAATCCCAGAAAGGCAAAAAAATTATTTACTTACAAGGCATAACCTCAACTATTTACTTAGCTGTGGTATGAGATCCAGGATATCAAATGGCCTGTCCTGACATTTAAATTCATTGTATAAACTCAAGTTTCCTCTTGGATATTTCCTTATGGCTGCAATATGTGAGTCCTATGTGATGAATTCTGAAAATAAAGGCTGTGATAGTGAGGTGGCTCAGTGGTAATGGTACCTGCCACCAAGCCTGACAACATGAATTTAATCCCCTGGACCCACATAGTAGAGGGAGAGAACTGACTTCCACAAGCTGTCCTCTGATTTTTATATGAGTGTCATGGCGCACACACACACACACACACACACACACACACACACACACACACACACACACACATACACACACACAGAGTAATCTAAATAAGTAAATAAATAAATAAATAAATAAATAAAATAAAAAATTTGTTGTCGTCTTACAAAGATCACTAACCAAACAGAAGTATACAAATACAAAGTAAAACTGGCTTGCAAACTCAAAGAACCACATACTACCAAGGAGACATCAAGCAAAACTTAGCTTCAGCCAATCATACACTGGGAATTTCATAAAAATGTGTGAATCAGCAAACACATAAATGTGTATGCATGTGAATAACAGTGACTTGGACAATGAAAAATCAGATGACTCATGTTTACTTTTCCAATAATACTCTCTTTTTCAAATGTATTCATGTGTGGCAAGCAATCTGCTAAGCTATACACCTAAAGTATCCCTGCTTTCTACTAAATGGTGAAAGACTTTCCCTCAATGTTTACTAGAAAATAGTATTTATGAAAAAATAGATTCTATTTTGATTAAAAAAGTACCTTCACGTAGTAAGAAAATATATTCTGAGTAATGCTCCCTACAAATGTAAGAAAACTGCAGGTAGGGACTGGGGAGATGGCTCAGTGGTTGAAAGCAGTGGCTGCTCTTCCAAAGGACCCAGGTTCAATTCCCAGCACCCCCATGGCAGTTCACAACTGTCTGTGACTCCAGTTTCAGGAGATCTGATGCCCTCACACAGACATACATGCAGGCAAAACACCAATCACTGCTCATAAAAATAAAAGTAAATAAATTATTTTTAAAAAAGAAAGAAAAGAAAACTGCAGGTAGGGCTGTAGAAACGGCTCCATAATTCAAAGAGTTTACTGTTCCTTCAGAATTTAATCCCCAGAACCCATGTGGGGTGGCTCACAATTGCCTGTAACTTTACTTCCAGGACCTCAGAAGCCCCCTTCTGGCATCCATGAGCATGTGTACACACATGGGCATACGCACAGACACAAACATGCACACATACAAAGCTTTTGTAACTTTGGGAAACAACAAAGAGCATCATCTGAGTTTCCACTTGAAATGACACTAATATTGAATCAAAGAAAAACAAAGAAGCCAACGTACTTAGAACACTGATTTTAGAAGCATGAGGCACTAATGGAGAAACATTACAGGTTGACATTAATTGCTATCCTAATGCAATGCCATTAGTGAAATACTACCCATCAACATTAATACTATCCCTGCGCAACATCATTGGTAGAGAAATACATACCGAGGTGAGTTCTGAAGATGCCACCCATATCACATCAACCAGCAGGAGAATCACTATCCCCAGGGCCATTCGCCTGCGCTGACAGAAGCCACTGTTCTGGGAATTCACTCGGTTCATGATAAATACACAAACCATTTGCAGTCTGTTAATTTAGAAAACAGAGATCTCATTAGAGTCTCTTTTAAAAGAACCACAGAAAAATCAGAAATTCGGTACAAGGAAACACAAGATATTTGCTAGTGAAAGCTCACGATGAAGTGTACAATTTACCTTGTTGCCAGGGCTTCTCTGAGCTCCTCAAACGCAATGCCCACAAACCTGGCAGATTTCAGTCTAAATGGAGGTGAAGGACTCAGACCACCTAAAACAGCACCACAGAAACTATGCTTAGGAAAAGTTCAAGTGTAAGATCACATCTTTTTCAGTCTTCATCTTCAAAGACTATCAAAATGTGTTCAACATAAGCCACACTCTGGAGATGTAGCTCAGTAGTAGAATGCTGGCCTAGCATGCATGAGGTCCTGGGTTCCATCCCAACCACTTCCCAAACTGGACAAAGTGGCCCATACCGATAAGCATTTGGGAACTAGGACAGGAGAATCAGAAGTTCAAGGTCAGTCAGAATAATACATAGTGAGTTCAAGGCCAGCCTGGGGGACAAGAGACCGTATCACAAGATAACAACAAAACAAACAAAAAACAGACTGTGGGTGTAGCTCAGTTGGTACAGGGCTTGCCTAACACGCTTTAGCCCTGGGTTCATTCCCAGCACTGCATAAACCAGGTGTGGTGGAGCATGCCTGCCTGTAAGGCAGAAAGATAAGAAGTTCAAGGTTACCCTGGGCCACCTTCAAACATCGAGTTTGAAGTCAGCCCTCCCGTGCCCACTCTTCTCCCCCAACCCCGCTCGCCCCAAAGAAGAAAAGAAAAAAGATTACACTCCAAAAGGTCCTGGGTACCAGGCAGGTAAAAAAAGCAACGTTCAACATATGGCACATTTAAGAGTGCCATAAAAAGATCCTCGAAGTCTCATAAACCGATTCTCCCTTCAGGACCTTCGACCCCGGGCAGTCTAGACACGCGTGCGTGCATCAGAAAGTATCCTTATCCCCCATCTCCAGTGGATTGGGCTCGCTGACAGGAAGTGATGTGCGAGCTTCCACTCACCTCACGTGAGGACGACGATCGTCCCCGCTCCCCACCCGCCGGGTCACTACTCCCCGGCCGCGGCCCCAGAGGACGACGGAAAACAGCTGGGACAGGGAAGCCTCCCCGCGGCGAGGAAACGACGTGAGGAAAACCAAGCGTGCCGCCTCGTGAGGGGCGAGAGGACTCTGACCCGTCCGCTATGGCCGCGGACGCCCGCCCGCCCGCCCGCCGCCTACCTGGCCTTCCTGCCCCTCGATGGAGTCGTGGCGGCACCATGAGCGGCCCCGGCCCGGCCCGCCACCCAGCGCCGCCGTCTCACACCGCACGCACAGACCCCGGCATCGCGCCGCGCAACGGGCCCGACTTTCAGAAGCCGCGCTGCCCCCCTGGGCGCCGGGCAGCGGCTGTCACTCAGGCCGGGACAGAGGGGAGTGACCCAGGCCACCGGACCGCGCTAGCAGCGACAGGCCTGGAGGCCCGGATTGCGGCCGAGGCCCAGGCCCCGCCCCCGACCGGCCAGCCAGCCGGGCCACGCCCATTGCTGGCCAAACAAGCCCTGCCCACTGCTGGCCAACCAGCAGGCCCCGCCCCCGGCCCGTCAGCCGGCCAGGCCCCACCCCCGACCTGTAGACCCGCCCCCAACCAATTAGCTTAGGCTACGCTAAGAGATCAGCCAGCCGGCGCTGGATAGTGAACCTGCCCGGAACACTCCGGCAGACAGTCACCACCCCACCCCTTCTGGGCCCCATCCCGGAGGCTCTAGGCCCCCCGCTTGTCCACCAACTAGGTGACGCCCTCCCCGTCACTCAGCGAGCCAACTGACTAAGCCCCGCCCCCAAGATGATAATCCCCGCCCTAGGCCTGGGTGGTCAGCCCCCAGGGCCCCGCCCCCAGACCGTCCGGCAGGCTCCGCCCCGGCCCGGTCAGCTCCTGCGGCCCCGCCCCCCTGCGCCAGGATTGAGGGCGCTCGGGTTACGTCACGCTGGGCGCGACTTCAGACCCGCCGGGACACTACTCCAGATTGGTGGTGCGCTAATGTGGACGCCAGCAGCGTGTGCAGGCTTCTGGCGTGGAGACACAAGGGTGACGCGAAGGAAAAGAGATGTGAGGAGAGCGGAGGGAAGCGGGCGGAGGTGTCTAAGGGAGAGTCCAGCCCTGGCAAGGCGGCCAGACATCCCCAGAGCCCCACCCTGAAACGAAAGTTGGCTGCAGCATTTCCTCCAAAGTTCAGGCAGCATGCTTCCAGTATCCCTTTCTGGAAACGACAGGCCGAGTGACTTGGCACGCTTTGGATTCCTGGATCGTTTTGTCCGTAAACTAGATCTTCATTCTTGGAGTTAGAAGTTGTCTGGACCAAATTACTCATCTCCCTGGCTCTCACTTTCTTCATCCAAAAAGGCATAGGATCATGTCAATGCCTCTCTCTCTCTCTCTCTCTCTCTCTCTCTCTCTCTCTCTCTCTCTCTCTCTCTCTCTCTCTCTCTCTGTGTGTTTACACTAAATAAATTATCTAATAGAATGGTATCAGGTGAGCCTGTGACACATAGGAAGAACTCTACAGATGCTAGCCTAACTAAAGTATAGGATTTTGTTTTTATTTTTAAGTATCTTGAAGCTCCCATAAGAAAGAAAAGTTGGCCAGCATCCTGACTTGTATTTAGGAAACAAACACGGGACTTAAGGCTTTCATAACCAGAATTGCATTGTTAGCATTTTTATCAAATGAAGCAAAGAAATAAAATTTTCTTACTCGTGTAGTCATAATGTGGTTCATTCCTTCTCTTTAAACTTTTTGTCTACATAGTCTGGTGACTAAAAATAAGACGAACATTTTGTTATTTGGCCAGATTCTAATAAACAGTTGGCATCCAACACTTCCAGTCATTGAGAAACTCGTCACTGGAGCAGAAGGGATAATTCAGCTGTGCAAGCACGAGGTCCTGAGTTCAGACCCCTAGCTCCCATGTAAACAGCTGGGCTTGGGCATATGCACTATGGGGAGACAGAGATAGGAGGATCAGTGCTTGCTGGTTGCCAGACTCATCGGTTTAGTAAGAGATCCTTTCTCATAGGAGTAAGACTGAGGATGACAGAGCAGAATACCAGATGCTCTCTGCCCTCTGTATGTACGCTCCTGCACACAAACAAGCCCGTCCTTGCTTGGCCTTTTGGTTAAGATCAAGGAGCAAGCATACTGTCTGTTCTTACCAATTTAATATCTGATCCATCTTGTTTCCAAGAACAATAATGTAAATGGACTTTGGGAGCGAAACAGATGGAACCTAATCTGGCTCCATCAACCCCACACCTGAAATGTTTGCCTTCTTGGAGTTCTTAAAAGAAAAGAAAAAACAAAACATCATTCAGAGTAAAAAAAACTATAGCCATATACATACACTTGAAATTACTACATGGGGGGGGTTAGTTATTGGCATAAATCATATAACTCCAGCACTAGTTTTTATGTCTCATTAACATTTTTTAGGAATCATAGTATGCTTAAGAATTTTTTACAGACAGGGTTTCTCTGTGTAGCTTTGGCACCTTTCCTGGAACTCACTCTGTAGCCCAGGCTGGCCTTGAACTCACAGAGATCTGCCTGCCTCTGCCTCCCGAGGGCTGGGATTAAAGGTGTGTGTCACCACCACCTGGCAGAATTTTTTATGCTACATATCTGATATAGTCCAGGAAAAAAGCATGGTGAATCAATCTCACTATCAAAGAGTAAAGGCCAGGTGTGATGTTGCATACCTTTAATCCCAGTGCTTACGAGGCAGAGGGAGACAGAACTCTGAATTGGAGACCAGCCTGGACTACATAGTGAGTTATAGGACAGCTGGAGCTACATAGTAAGATGCTGTCTTTAAAAAAAAAAAAAAAAAAAGATGGAAGCCTCTGTGAGTTCAAGGCCAGCCTGGGCTACAGAGTGAGTTCCAGGAAAGGCACAAAGCTATACAGAGAAACCCTGTCTTGAAAAACAAAAAATAAAATAATATTAAAAAAAAAAAGAATGGGAGAATCAAGAAAAGTAGGTTCTAGGTTTTTTGTTTGCTTGTTTTTTGAGATAACATCTCACTTAAAAGCCCTAGCTGGCCTGGAAGCCACTATGGATCTTGAACTTAGAGATCTACCTGCCTCTGCCTCCTGAATGCTAGGATCAAAGGCATGCACTACCATACCCAGCACATAGCTTCTGAAAATCTGTTATAGAATCTTGAGGATTACCAACACTGTGCCTCAGTTGCTTCATCTATGAATATGGGTTTCTTAAAATGCTAGCACAAACATACAAGTTACCATTATTACCATGTGTCTTACTTAGGGTTTCTATTGCTGTGAAGAGACACCATGACCATAGCAACTCTTATAAAGGAAAATATTTAATTGGGGCTGGCTTGCAGTTTCAGAGGTTTAGTCCATTATCATCATAGTAGGACATGGTGGCATGCAGGTAGACATGGTGCTGGAGAAGGAGCTAAGAGTTTTATATCTGGATCCTCCAGCAGCAGGAAGAGAACTAGCTTGAACTTCTTAAACCTCAAAGCCTACCCCCAGCGACACACTTCCAACAAGGCCACACCTACTCCAACAAGGCCACAATTTCTCATTATGCCACTCCCTATCAGCCTATGTGGGCCACTTTCTTTCAAACCACTACACCATGTATTCCCAGAGCATCTACTAAATGGCAGTGGTGCAGTGTTTATGTGGTGGAATAAAATCATTCTAGGTAGATTACTTTCATGTAGTCTCAAAACTAATTTAACTCTTCCAGTAATATTTTTCCCTTAGCTGTCTGAAAGAAATTCCCCAAGACTGCTCTATAAAACCAGCATGTCCTGGTTAGAATGTTTTTTTTTTTTTGGTCAACTTGACACAAGCCAGGATCACCTAGGAAGTGGAAATTGGGAAAATGCCTCCATCAGATTGGTCCATAGGGTATTTTCTTCATTAATGACTGATGTGGGAGGGCACAGCCCACTGCAAGTGGTGCCATCCCTGGAGCATGTGGTTCTTGGTTGTATAAGAAAGCAGATTAAGGAAGCAAGGGGGAATAAGCCAATAAGCAGCATTCCCCCATGGCCTCTGCTTCAATTCCTGCCTTCAGGTTCTTGCCCTGCTTGAGTTCCTGTCTTGGCCTCCCTAAGAGACGGACTGTGAACTGGGAATGTAAACTAAATAAACCCTTTCCTCCCAAGTCGTTTTTGGTCGTGGTCTATAACAGCAGTAGAACCCTAACTAGGACACAGACCCTGCTATGTATGGCTTTTGTGCTGCAGCACCATCCTGACTGTGGTGGTTCATTTTATGTCAACTTGACACAAGCTCGAGTCACTTTAGAGATGGGAACCTTAATAGAGAAAATGTCTCCATGAGATTGGGCTGTAGACAAGACTGCAGGGCAGTTTTTATTAGCGATTCATGTGGGATGGCCCAGCCTACGGTAGGTGGTGCATCCTTGAACTGGTGGTCTTGAGTGCTATTAGAAAGCAGTTTTAGGAAGCCATGAGGATCAAGCCATTAAACAGCACTCCTCCATGACCTCTGCATCAGCTCCTGCCTCCAGATTCCTACCCTTCTTGAGTTTGTGTTCTGACTTCTTTTAATGATGAACTGTAATGTGGTTCCTTTGATGATGAGCTATGATAAGCATCATGGCGTTTTATCACAGCAATAGTAATCCTAACTAAGACACTGACCAACTCAGGCATTCCTTTCATTCTTGTCCCATGTGTATACCTATATTCTTTATTCAGGTTAAATCTTTCTGGAAAATAACTGTCAGTTGTCTGGTCTGGTAGCTTCAAGTCCTTGTTGATTGTTTGTTTGTTTGTTTGTCTTTTTGTTTTCTCTCCAAGAGTTAGAGATCAAACTTACAGCTTGAATATGCTAGGCAAGGTCACTACCGTTTCTGATGTGTGCTTATGGCTGTTCTCAAACTTCTGGGCTCAAGTGACCTTCCTTCTATAGAGTAACTGGC